ATATATAAGGTTACTGTGACGCCTATTGCCGCCATTGTCAGTTCCGCCGATTTCGCAATAAGTAAAGGCAAATTTTCTTGTAAAGTACTCCAAACCCAAAATTTTCAAATTGAGTTCACTTGAACAAAAGGAAGAAGCCTCGATTACATCAGTAACATATCCAGCAGCTTGAGTTCTTCATTTTAAGTATTTTGATCACATTTTTTACATTTTTCTTTGTTTTTAGGGCTTTTTAAAAACATTTTAAGAGCATTTTGTTGATCATTTTTGGCAGTCATCAACAATCCGCTCCCTATTAATAACATACGATAACTGAAATCTTGGGAATATTGTTACATATGTTTTAAAAATGAGCACATTTATCTGAAATACTTTCTTTCTAATTTTGTAGTTCGTCAGATCCAGTGTGCCTGTTCGCCTGGTTGTCCACACGATACTTGCACAACAGAATACCAGTGTTATACTCAGTATATGCATGATGAATTGAAGCCTCTTGCTCATGGTTGCTTGCGACGGTAAGTATTATAAATGAATTTGTAATGTATTGATTTTTGCTACTTATATTGATTACCTTTATAAGTCAAAAGTTAGAAAGCACGTCTAACTGCGCATGCACGCGTTTTTGGAGAGAAAAGAGATGTCTCCTCTAACAGACTCCTCGATTCCCCTCTTGACTGACCACGTGCTTGCTTGGGCTTACCGTCATAGCAGCTCGGCCGCAAATACCATTTCAAGGTCCTGGAAAGTACAAATTGAACACAGGTGGCTTATCCCTTATATTTCAAATGCAAAATAAGCCGATTTTTTCCAAAATTGATATTCCTCGGTTGACTTTAAGGAAATCGAGACCCTCTGAGTTTGAGAATATTTTGATCTGTCAGGTGCACTTAATATGAAACCTCAAACACATTTTCATTTTTTTTGAAAATGGCATCAAATGTATGGATTAAAGTTTGTCCTCAGATAGTGTAAACGATGCATAAAATAACGGCACATATCTGGTTTTTGTTAACATTCTTGATTTTTCGAAAAACATCATTTTTTGGAGACTTCTTACAACTACAATACTGAAAATTATATATTTCCTGAATAAAATCTATTGCTGAAAGTTGTGAAAGTCTTGAAATGAGATTGTGTACATTTTTCGAAACTATTAGTAGTTTTCAGGTAATTTTCATGAAATATACGCAATTTTTAATTTTTTTCTCAAAAACGGCTTTGAATTATTTTATTAATTTTTCTTCACGTGTGTATCAATGACAGTAAAACATGTGATTCTTGATTAATTTTCGGTGAACTCTATTTTGGAAATTACAAAATGTTTAGTATTGTACAGAAATTTGTTTTTAACCTAATCTGTTCTAAGAACATATCAATACTGTGGTAGTATACTGATGTTAGAAGAGGCGAGTTGTAATTTGTGATTGACGTTAATGCAAATTAAGAAAACGCCAACGGACCAAGGGAGCTTAAAAAATGTCGCAGGTTTCATTTTACTTTAACCCTCTGAATTTTACAAAACCGGAAATTTTGAAATAAAGCGAGAAAGTATGAGTTGTTTTAGCTCCACTAGCTATACGTTCTCTCCGTACTTCGTAAGAAGAGAAAGAATTATAATCGTTTTTCGGAAAACGACGATTTTTCGAAAGAAAACTTATTACCAGGCCTTGGTAAAGAAGAAGTTTATAAATATTGTACCTATATATAGAACATTAATTTCTCTATCACTTTTTCTGGTTAGAATTCATGTTCTGTGGATCCTTTATACCGAATATTGATTAACGGCAAAACGCCTCTCTGTCCCACCTTCTGTCAATCTGAGGCCAACTATAGCGCCTAAACCGTTCAATAGTTTTTCTCCCAAATCGATATTTCTCTATCAATTTGAAGGAACTCAAGTCTCTGTGTTTGAAACTGATATTTTGAGTTTTCAGGATACTTTATGTAAAGGATGAAAATTCAAAATTTTCTTAAACATTGCTCAACATTTGTTGATTAAATTTTGTACTTGAATAGAGTAAAAGTTTCATATGAAATATGTTCATATGACGTCTTACGAAAATATGTTTGTCAGATTTGTTCTATCAACATTCTATCGACATTTGAATTATATTTATAGTCTTTACTATTTATTACAACTTCATGTTTATTTTCTATTTAAATTCTGACTTGTACAAACATTTTTGCCAAGCACAAGTATTGTGTTTGAATGGCGAATTCTATCCTTTTTTACGTTTGTGATGTTTTGTAAAATCATTCAGTTATTTGTTGTAATTAACAATAAGTTGAAATAAATTAACAAGTTTTTATTACTTAGCTATTCTTTCTAACGAACGGAGAGTGCTTTGAAAAGATACTAATACAGTGTAACAAATTTGAAATTTATGTCTTGCTGTGAAATGAAAAAAGTGTTCTTTACTAAATCACATATGCTGATTGCGAAAAGAAAGTCAGAAATGTTTCATCACGTACCAACTTTTCTGAAAAAAATACGCCATATGTACCATTTTCTAGAAATTTGGAAACAACTCAGTAACAATACAGGATGAATCTTTATTTGATTAATACAGATTATGTAACAAAAAACCGTATTACAAAACTTGTTTGCATTATTAAATTGTTTGTATGACATAACATAAAATAAAAACAGTACGAGCAATCAGAATAAAGTTTGAAATGTACTTACAATTCGAAACGTTTCCTCGAATCTTTCCGTTTGTGGGTGGCTGGTGAAACATATTTTAGGAATGTCCAGCAGTAAACCTCTAAAAGGTTTGGTGACCATCTTCTCTTATATTGTCTTTCCATGGCAGCGATATCTTGGTGAAATTGCTCACACACATCTAAAGATTAGGTGGGAAGAAATCCAAATGTTAATTAAGGAAATGCAATTTCCGAGATGCACCATGTAATCAAATGTATCCGGACACGTGGCTGAAAATGACTTACCAGTTCGTGGCGCCGTCCATCGGTATTGCTGGAATTCAAGAGGGTATTGGCCAACCCTTAGCCTTGACAACTTCCGCTCTCGCAGGCTTACTTTCAATCAGGTGCTGGAAGTTATAAATTTATTCAGTAAAAAAACAGTAAAAACTGTATGTGAAGTAGGAGGGAAAAGATGATCTGCGCACGTTTTCTTGAGTTCCAGAATCCCTTCCCGTCATTTTAACTATAAATAGTTAAAAGGTGAGTAAAAGTTTAACATAAATAAATAAATTAAATAAATAAATTTAAAAAATGATATTTATAAATCGTAAGATTAACAACATTTGAAAAATAATCATTTTAGTTTCTGACTTATAGAAAACTTATTTGCATCGGTACACGAATTGCAAGTATGATTTTTCTGCATTGCTAACCAAATATCAACTCTCCCTTACCTCTAGTCTTACTATTACAAGCAAAAGGAGAGTTCAACAAAACGTGCGCATAGTTAAGCTACATTTACGTCCAGAAACATAACAAACACATCTAAGCATTTGCTCAATGGATCAAGGAAACTGGACAAAAACCTAATCGAGATGGGGTCATTGACCCAGATGCTGAAGTACATTATTTGTTACAAACATATTAAGACTTAAAAATATACAATACAAATGTAAAGTAATTCATTATGTCATTGTTTTGTTAAAATAAACATTATTTTTCCTTTTGATAATCAGTATAGTCTCTAATTGTATAGAAACAGTTATGCATCAGAAAAGATTTTACTTTTAACATAAATTTGTGAACCGACTTTAATTGTTTAATGTCATCTGGCTGTGCGTTGTGAAGTACCGCACATGTATTGTACGTGGATTTTTGGTAGTGAGCTGTTGATACTAACACTTGATGAACGTGATTTTTACGACGTGTGTTGTAATTATAAATATCAGTATTGCATGAAAATATGTTCCCACCATTAAGTAAGTCACTTTTGACAAATATTACAAATTCGTAAATATATAGGCAAGGCAATGGTAAGATTCCAAGCTCAATGAAGAGAGGCTTGCAAGGGTAACGCGAATTGCATTTTTTCATTAGTCGAATAATTTTCTTTTGCAATCTAAAGGTCGAGTAGTACATAATGAGTTTCCCCAAAATTGTATACCATCACTTAGGCGGGAAAGTACATTTGCAAAATACACGCAACAAGCTGCATGAAGGTTGACAGAATTTGATAGAATTCTAAATGCGTAACATAATGAACTTAATTTAGTTTAATTTTTTTATATGTACATTCAATTTGAGGTTTGACTGAATTGACAGACCTAGAAATTTTGTTACCTGAACATCACATAATTGCATATTATTCATTTTTAATGGAGCATGCGATTGCTGATTTGAAATCCAAAAATGCATTGAAACTGTTTTTCCTTCATTAACTATTATTTTGTTATTACAAAACCAATTTGAAACTTCTAAAATCGTACTATTTATTGTTTCTTTTTTGCAAAGAACATTCGTATCATCGGCAAACAGAACCGTTCTTACGTTTTTAACAGACGACGGCATATCGTTTACTTATAACAGAAAGATTATAGGACCTAATGGGGTTTCTTAGGGAATGACAGCCCATTCTTCACGGAGTGCTGCACGGAATAGAAGTATCGATGTATGTCGGCGAGCCCTGGCACGAAGTCGGCGTACCAAAACATCCCAAAGGTGTTCGATTGGATTCAAGTCAGGACTCTGTGAAGGCCAGTCCATTACAAAGATGTTATTGTCATGTAACCACTCGCCACTGGCCGTGCAGTATAAACAGGTGCTCGATTGTGTTGAAAGATGCAATCGCCATCCCCGAATTGCTCTTCAACAGTGGGAAGTAAGAAGTTGCTTAAAATATCAACGTAAGCTTGTGCCGTGATAGTGCCACTTAAAACAAGGGATGCAAGCCCCCTCCATAAAAAACACGACCACACTATAACACCATTTTGGACGAGTTTTGGATACTTTTGATCACATAGTGTATGTTGCACTCTATGGCCCTGTAACAGTCCATTACGTGTTTCGTCAGTCCCCTGTAATTCTCAATCATTACGTTTCCCAAGAAATTGTCGCCTACATCTTTCAATTCAAGCCAAGCTCCCTTCTCAAGGTCTGTCAACAACTGTTCGAAGGTAAAATATCTCAAGTCACGGTTCTGAAGCCCAATGACAATTCCTTCTTTAATATTGCAATAATAATCGAAGTAAATTTAGATAGTAAAAATTGAAAACCCTGGCCAACTTTGTTTATTACTTTCATAAAATTCTCCATAAAGCCCAATTTCAGATGGAGTAGTAATGCCAATAGACTGTTTTTGTCTACAAGGGGTTCATGCTACACATTTTTTCAACAGAATTGAAAGTTTTTCTCACAGGCTACTTTTCAATAACAGAATGGTCTTTCCTTGCGCTACTGTCCCAGAGACACAAAACCAGTATTATTTTGAGGAACCAGTCTGCATTCCTAGCAGAAGTTCCAAAACTTTGGAATCACCACAGATTTTCCACTTGCGATTCGAATAGCCAGTATACTTCAGGAGTAGCCTCAT